AAAAAAAACAACCAAACGCCCCAGGACCGCTGGCTCGCCCTGGCAGGTGACGATGACGGTGACTGCCCTGGGATCCTGCACTTCTACAGGGTGCTGGACGGAGCGAGCCCGGAGCTTTGTGCATCTCGCAACATTCAAACCCCGGTGAATATTCCCTCTCCTCCGACTCCGAGCCCCAGCGCTGCCGGCTGCGCCCTGACGCAGCCCAGCAGCACCCCGTTTCCCTTCCCACACCAGCGCCTGTTCGGTGCACGCAGCCGGCCATCGGGGCCAATGCCAGTGCTGGCTGCGCGCCGGGGACGCGGTGATGGTGTCGGTCCTGGACCAGGGGACAGGAAGGGAGAGATCCTGGACACGCTCACACCTGTACCTACCTGCTACCCCTCTAGCCAGAAATCATCAACTCCTTCGCACTGCATCGTGACAACAGGAGAGAAAGGGTTCAGTATTTGCTCAGGGCTCTTCTTTGGCTCCCTGTGGTATTCAATGCAGCTCTGTCACCTCCCGCTCCAGGCTCTTATGCACCAACCTCACCCGCTGTCAGCACAGTTTCTTCTCAGCACAAGAGCCCACCACTCCCTTTTTGCCCTCCGGGATGTGCTGGCTCCATGGGAAAAGGAACGTCGCTAGCATAAATAAGGGAGGACCGTGCCAAGAAGCTCGTGGGTTTCTGAAAACACCTGCCTGTTCCCCTTGCTCAGTGCCTGGACGGCAGAAACCCTTGCGGGGGGACGGCGAGGAAGCAGCGCGGCTTCAGAAAGCCGAGGAAGGTGGAAGAGAAAGTGGGTCTGGGGGAAGATTCAGCCCCAGATCTTACAGCAGCCCCAAGCCACTGGGGCTTGCACGTGAAGGCGGCAGAAGCCACCATCGCCACTGAAAGGGATGTGCCTGCTGTCCCCCACCCCGTGCCCCCATCACCGGCGTCTCATCCTCTCCCGGGAGCACCCAGGAGCGACTCCGGCCAGGGAGCAGAAGGCAGCCAGACAAGAGGCACGAGGCGCAGCGTCCCAAGCCAAGCCCCATGAGTAGCCATGCCAGCCTGAGGACGGCTTCTTCCAGGAGCGCTGCCTTCCGACAGACGAAGATCCTGGCGCAGGACAGCTCTCCCTACTCCGGCTGGTGCCCCACCAGCAGATACATGGACTTCAAAGCCTTTAAAGAGCGACTCCAGCTTCTGTACGAACCATTTTCCCCCGAGCAGCGTTTCTCCTGGAGCTGGACGAAGGGCTGAGCTCCCAGGGCATCGCCAAGGAGTTGAAGTGCAGAAGCGAGGGCTGGCAGGCCAGGAAAGCACGGGCGAGTATCTCGGCGACACAGTGCCCAAGACAGGGAAACCCTGAGGTCTTGGCTGCGTTTTCCTCCCCCCGCCTGCACATGCTCCCCTCCGCCTTGCCTCGGCCGCCGCTCCTCCACCCCGGGGACGCTCCCTCCGGCAGGGAGCTGCAGTATGGTTTGCTTTGCACTTTGCCTTCATCAGGTTTTTAATCAAGACAGCGCTTTACAAACATTAACTAATTAATCTAGCACATTTCCATCAGCACAGCTGCTTGTGGGGGCCGGCTGCTGCCTAATCACGTCATTAAATAAAACAAAAGCTTTGAGTCACAGCCCGCTAACAATTGCTAACGTGACGCGGGGCGGCACAGGGCTGCTGCTGCACACTCACCAGGAGTTACTGTCAGCAGGCGGCTGCAGTTTCCTCCTGTGGGAACAAGACTTAAGTATTACCATATGGAGATTTTCTGCTGAGAACACCAGTAAAGCTGATGAAATCCTCTTTTGGTGACCAGGGGTGTGGTGGGGATGTGAAATCCCTCTGCCCAGCTTGCCTGCAGCTCCAGTGGTCCCTCCCTGCCAGTCTCCTGACGCCCCGGCGATGGGAGTCTGGTGCTTGGCCACGCTCGTGGGGACATTTCAGGGAGGGGACAAGTGTCCAGGAGACTTCAGGTTTCCTGCCAGTAGCACAGCTCAGCCAGCTGAAGGCGCAAGCTCCTTCCTCGCCCAGTTCAAGCTGGCTGACTTCTCTCCAGCTACTGGGATGATGGCAGGAGGGACCAGTGAGCCTCCAACAAGCTGCCTTGTGCTGCCCTGGCATTTGGAGGAAGACCCAACGCAGAAGCACGAGCAGGACGCTATGCGGTTGCTCCTTCTGCTCCAGCTCGCGGAGTCGCATCGTTATTCCACACGCAAGAGCTGATCAAATCCCACCATGATCTACCAGAAGCTCTCGAGAGCTTAGCTGGCTGCTACGGACACAGCATCTAGTGGCCAAGGCTCCTACCAAGCGGTCTGGCTGCTCCAAGCGTTATTTGGGACCATTTTACTGAAATGGAGACTTCTACCCAAAATGAGAGATACTAACTGCAGGAACTCATTGCTGAGATAGCCAGGCTACAAACGCTCTCAAATTTTGAGCACTGATTTTTATACTGGTCCTCTCCTTCCAGCTGAGCATGTGGAAAGCAAAGCTGTTATCACAGCAAAGCACAGGAGAAGATGACAGTGCCATTACTGTCCCTCTAAGAAAGATCTGAGAGGGTCAAAGGCATCGTGAGGGTTTTTTTCTGACTTTATCCATCCCATGTCCTTACAGGCAGATCCAATATAAACAGGATGACTCTTCCCTTGAGCCGAGAGCCACCGTCTCCGTGCAGAGCCCGCGCCAGCTGTGACTCACACGCACTTCATGGTGCCCATCAAAGGACACCTTTCCCTCTCCTCTACCCTGGCCTCAATTTTAGCCACAGAAACGCGGAGCTGGCAACCACCCTCCCAGTCTTACCTGTCTGTTGAAGTCTTCTTCGTTCTCCATCCACATGTACTCTGCAAAGGGGTTGTTTTCCTTTTCATCGTGGCCGTTCACTACTTGGTCCTCTTTGGATTTGGGACTGGACGCCGTTGTACTGGCGAGGTCGGAGCCATTCATCATTACTGACTCTGAGAAGAGAAAGAAGGGGGTGAGGGAGCTGCCGGGGACCCCCATGCACCCCAACCCGTGCTGGCCACCCAGCTCCCAGATGGATGCTTGCCACTGGCCATGCTGATAGCCGACAGCTCGGGCTGCCAGCACAAGAACCTGCTGCTTTTTTCAAAGCACGGTGCTATTCCCAACTCCTCCTCTCTCCTTGAAAGCGCTGGAAACACACCTCCCTGGCAGCGGCAGCATTTATTTTTCATGGTTTTGACCCGTCACAGTCAGAACGTACTTGGTCTGGACTTAGAGCAAGGGGTGAGCTGACCAGCAGCTCCTGGAGAAGTTGTGAACAGGGCTTGGACAGGCACCGGCACCCCAAACCCCGTCCATCCATCCAATTTATTTTAAATCTGCCACAAAATACACCAAAAGACCGCAGCTGGGTTATCACTGCAGTCAACATACCAACACCACAGAAGCAGATTGCCCCCTACCCCACAATACTGAATTTTTTGGCAGAACATATGCACGCCAGTTCGTGTCCCTTTATCTCTGCTGTAATTTCTTTATTTTTAGAGGGCATTTCGCAAAAGCCTGTTGCTTTGCGACATGAAGGCTGCCTTTTTCTAAAGCAGGCATTCAGAGTCCCAGGAGCACGGCTTGAAGCAAGACAAACCTTAGGGAATCCCAAAACTCGCCTTCCGAAAGGCTCCCGGGAGCAGACGGAGAGAAGAACACGCAGACAGATAAAGACGACAATAATACAATAGCAAAATCCTACAGAATAGCGAAACACGGACTAAGGCCAGCACAACCCTGCTGAAAAATGTCCAAACATCACGTAACGACATCCGGGCTGTATGTTTTACTCTCCCCTGGTAAAGGCTTTATCTGGAACTGAGCTGCGTCCAGCACCAGCACGGCCCCAGGACACAGGAATGAACTGGAGAGCATCCCACAGGAGCAGGGAAACACGACTTCTTGGGACGACTGGCAGAAGCGGGTTGGTTTGGTCTCAAGGAGGACAAGAGCCAGGGAGCCCCGCACAACAGCCCTTTAGGTATAGAGGGAGATTGCAGAAAAATCAGCCTTTTCTCCTTGTGGATACAGAGGGTTTTTCGGTTTTTGCAGCAGTAGAAATTGGATTTGGAGGGGGGTGAGGTCGGGGAGACCAGTAGTGACGATGGGAACCAATACCCTTCGCAGGGGGACAAGCCTCTCCCCAAAAGTTTCAGGGAACAGTTAGCGATGGGCACCAGGGTGGTCCAGGTATGCCTAATCCTACTTTAGGATCACAAAGACAAATTAGACGACCTCTCAGAGTCTCCACGAGCCCCTACAAGGCTGTGAGAGCAAGCAACATCCCCGCCGGAGCCCGGTCTTTTCTGTCTGCCAGCTCCCATCAGATCTGCATCCCAGCAGCCGCTCCAATCCCCCAGGAGCAGAGGTCCCACTTTACTCGTTAAATGCAGCCTGCTGTAGGGGCCAAGCAGATTGTTCTTATTTTTGGGAGGAATCTGAAGCACAGACAAGTACATGACCTGTCGCACGTTACTCTCTGAAAAGCATCCCTGCCGATAACAAAGGTGCGCAGCCCTTGCGTACCGACGCTCTCGGGTTCCCGAGAGCAGCACAGCTTCAGCTGCTCCTGGGCAAAGAAAAAAGGGGAAAAAAGGGGAAAAGGAAGAGCAGCAAGGTCCTCAGGCTGCCTGCAGCCTCAGGACGCAGCAGCAGGCCACACTGAAGCAGCCTTTGCTATCTGCAGAGAAGCAAGAAAGGCTCCGAACCGAGCACGGAAACGTAAGCCGTGCCAAAGCCAACACGGCGGCTCTCCCGTGATCAACGAGACTTATTGACGGCAGACAGCTCACGTCTGGCAGGAGAGAGTCGCAGGGCAGGCGGGAGGGGAACAGAGCTGCAAAGCAAGCGAAAAGGCATGAAAAGTTTGGACGGGGGAGCTCTCCCTCGTTCCCTGCCTGCTCCTCTCGCCACCAGCGCAGATGTTTGCACAGGCAGAGCCCGGAGCCCAAGGACACGCGGGTTTTGAGGAGCTGCGGGGTTCTCTGCTTACGTACAGCATCCAGAGCCGGGTCCTCTGCGCAGACAGGCAGGATCGGTGCCGGGTCGAACCGAAAGCCCTCCCGCTGCCCGGCTGTAGATCAGGCAGCTGCTGTCAAGAGACAAAGCGAGGTGCCTGTGCTGGTCCAGCGGCTCTGTACCAGCCACTGCAGAGAACAGCTTAGCTGGAGAAGCAGTATGAGAGAGGAGGGAAGGTTTTTGCAATGTTTAATTTTATGGGTTTTATGTTTGTTTTTTTAAAAAAAAAAGAAATAAAAAGCTTCCTCTCCCTCCCCAAGTCTCCACACTCCTTACTAATCTGGCTGCAAAGAGACCTTGCTCCCCTGGTGCCAGCTCTCGGCAGAGCCTTGCAGCGCTTGCTGAACAGCAAAGGGGGTTTTCCCCGAGCGTTTGGCGTGGGCGAGCCGGGACCCGCAGCACGGCCGTGGGGAGCCGTGGGAGGAGGAGAGGCAGAGGAGGGCGGCATGTTGTGGTTTGGGAGCAGAGACATGAAAGGATGGCTGGTGTCTAGTTTCCCTCCCAGGTTTATAACGCAGCAGCAGGACTTTCATCGCGGTTCCCGTCGGCAGGACAGGTTTTTCAGGTGGATGGGGAGCAGCAAAGGCAGCAGCTCTCGGCACAAACAGATCGTAATAGCAGGGCAGCCCTGAGCGCTGCCAGCATCCCAACATCCGTGCAGCCCCTCGGCCATCCACACGTCCCACTTCAGTGCCTGGAGCGAACCGAAGGGCTCCCGTGAGGCAGGCAGGGTCCACGAATGCCAGCTGAGCTCAGCTTCCTGATTTTGGCTTCCACCATCTCCTAAGGGGCAGAGGGAGAGCCCGGGACCCCCGGCTCGGAGAGGCCAGCACGGACATTTAAGTGTCACGGAGCAAGACAGGAGCCCTTCTGCAGAGCGATGCCCCCGTGCTTTGCTGGGAGAAGGAGCAGGCAGCAAGGAGAGGCAGGCTCGTCCCTGCC